GTGGAGGAGTGAATGGGCCCAGCATTTAAAGTGGATGGGTCACATTTGCGAATCAAAGGTGCAGCCGTTGGGAGACCTGCATGGCGGAGACCAGTTCCTGTCTCAGTGTGTAAGGACTGGTCACACTGAGACTCCCAGGGAGTGCCCCCTGGCCAAGCCCAGGAGCAGCTTGCTGGCAAAGGAGCCAAGGTCACGCCCCATCTCTTGGTGCAAGGGCGCCAGGCCCACACCCCATTGGAAAAGCAGGCATCGCACTTCCTAAGACGGGCCCCGAAGGATGCTTGTCTTCCCCTGGGGCATTTAAAGAGGCACACTGGGAGCTGCTGGCCCAAGACGCTGCCCACCCATAGCGCACCCTGGCCAGCGTTCCAGGCCCGAGCCCAGCTCTGCACTTTGGCAAGTGACTTGTTCCTCGTTTCCCCCTTTGTTAAGATAGGATGGTGATGCTGTCCTGTGTCACCGCCGAGGGTTTTCGTCATGAGCCACTCGGAACAGAATGCGTGCACAGTGCATGCTCGCTGAGTATTGGGAACGCTTCTCCCACCACGGGGAATGGCAGGAGCCAAGGGAGAGATTGGTCAGTGTTTTCCAAGCAGCTGGAGAAAGATACAGTCCCATGAGATGAGAGTGGCATGCGTGGAGTGCTCACCTTGAGACAGGCCCTGGCCCCAGGCACTTTGGTACCAGCCTGGGAGGCCCTGCTGGAGGGGTGTGTGCATGTCAGCCCCTGAGATTGCGAACCAGGTGGTCTTGGAACCCAGTCTGCAGCGGCCTCGCTGCTAAGCTCACCTCTGGGCAACAGCAGGTGTCGGGCAGTGGGCCATGCCTGGGACTGCCTGGGCGGGTGGTTGGACCCTGGCCTTAGAGGGAGACCCCCGCAGCCCTTCCTACCCACCCTCTGATCCATGGAGAAGTTGCAGACAAACCCAACTCTCTTGGGTCAGACCTCACATGCCGCGCCTCTGTCTGCCCCACTTGGCCTGGGGCTTTTCCTAGTAACAGAATTGACTTGAAACACGGGGAGTTGGTGTCGCCATCCCTGGGTGACTTGCTCTGCACTGCGGGGCTGCCCGAGCTGCCTGGGGTACCACGTCCGCGTCCTGGCTGAGGGCGCGAGCATCGCATGGGAGAGCTGAGCCCCGAACCCACGCTGAGCCCAGAGACCTGCGCTCAAGCTGCCTGTGTATGCGCTCCTTTTGGGTTGTTTGCCCGTTGGGAACAGGGTCTGGCAAAGGTTCTTGTGTGTTGCAGTGATTGGGGTAGGTTCGGGTCAGACGAGTTGGCACTGGTCCCCTTGTGTCCTTGTCGCTGCCACGGGCTGGTTCGTCTCTCGGAGCAGCTGGTTCCCTGAGCGGGTGGGGAGCAGGGTGACGGGTGCTGTTAACCTTTGAGATGTCTGATGCAGAGGGCAGGACAGGATGAGGCAACCGGCCGTGGCGCCTGGGTCCCGGGGAAGGGAGGACCCTGGGCTGCTGCGGGCGAGGCGTGGTGCTGTTTGCGTTCCAGGGTTGCCGGGTGTGAGCCTGTGTCTACATTTCTGCCCTTGGTTTGCCCCTGATCAGCACTGAGAGGCCTGTGGGAGGCAGCCCTTCCTGCCAGGCTCGCTTCCTGTCTGCCTGCCTTCTGCAGCGCCAGCCTTCTGCCCTGCTGGAGCCCCGGGGAGGGGGCTGCGGGCCCGGGCACCTTGCACCCTGGCAGAGAGACTGCACATGCAGTCCAGTGCCTTGCAGAGGTGAGAGCCGGGAAGACCCCCGCCTCCTGGTTGCTGGCCAAGCTTACCCATGTCCTGGAAGGGCTGAATCTTGGAACGTCTGCTCCCCATGGGTGCCTCCTATGTGCTCAGAATCCCACAGGTGCCTCTGGGACAGCCCCAGCTCTCTGGCCTGGAATGGCTTCGTACCCCATTGTTGGTCATCTTTGTCTTTCAGTTTAGAAATCAGGAAGAAGACAGTTTCTTGCTGACCCACTGTGGGGCCTTCGGGTCCGGTCACCCTGTGCCATTGGCCAGGGTCTGAGAGTCCCTGAGCTGCTGGTCTCCTGTCGGCGGCAGGAGCGCCTTGCTGGATGGTCACGCCCCACCCACCGCCCCCTTCCCTTTAAAGGGGAGAGTTTATGCTTTCAGGAAAAGGAGGAAGGGGAAGGGGGGAAAAACACCTTAAAGGAATTTTAGGCAGACTCAGCATGTTTTTGGTGTTGCTCCAAAAATTCCCTAAAGTGTAATAAAAAGAAAACGCTCGCAGGCATTGATTAGTGAGCTTTTCTTTGGGATGCTTTAAAATGAGCACATGCAGTTGGGCAAGAAGCTGGGTGCAGTTCCTGCGGGAGGGCAGGAGGCGCTGAACACACAGGGGAGGCTGTGACCTTGAGGGCAGCGCCCCAGGGCCCCTGGGCTCTGCCTTTCGGAGGTGATGGCCAGAAGCTGAGGCTGAAGGCCCGGGGACTTCTCAGCCCCTGGCTGCCTGGCCTGGGAAGCCCCGGGCCAAGCGCCCACACCGGCCCTGTGGGGAGACTTTGTGGGCTGCGGGCCCGATTCGGGGAACTGGTCTGTGACAGTGACGCTGAGTGCTTCCCAGAAGCCAGCCCGGCTGGCGGGGGCTCTGCCGTGTGGGGTGCCCCGGGAGCACCCAGGGCTGCGTGCCCCGCAGTGGATTTGCTGGGGAGCGGGTCTTTGTGCTAGGAAGAGCCCTGACAGGAGGCAGAGAGCAGAGCTGCCCTGGGGGGGGGGCGGGGTGGGAGGGGGGCACCCTGCCGGCTCTCAGGGGCCCTGTTTACACTCAGGGACACCCTTTATCTGGGCTGGGCCATTAACCTCAACAGAAAGAGGCTTTTTCCAGGAGAGGTCTGGTAGCAGGTAGCTACGCGGGCTGCCCAGATGAAAGAGAATCCCGCTGGAGCGCCCCTCCCCGCCCCCTCCCAGCTCCCTCTGCCCCGAGAGGCCCCGCCCCTTTGGGGCCTGGCATGGGGCACCTAGGTCCTCTTCCTCCTTGCTCCCTGCCAGTGCCTGCCAGCTTCCAGTGGCGCTAGGCTGCCTGACACCCAGTGGGGCTCCCCGAGGGAGGAGTCTCCCACCCCCAGCGCCCCTGCCCAGCCCCTCTCCCAGGCCAGGTGTGTGCTGGGGGCAGCCAGGGCTTTCTCTCCGCCAGAGATCTTCTGGCTTCCGTGGCTGTCACCGGCCTCTGGTGTAGCCTTGGGAGGTGAACTCCCAAGTTCAAAGATTGCCCGCACTCGCCGCTTTATTAGCAGTTGATGGATCCTTTGCAGACGCGCCGATGCCTGATGATTCACTCTTTGCTCAGAGCCCTTGCCTCTCTCATGTTTTCCCATATGTTGCAAGGTGTGTGTGTGTGAGAGAGAGAGAGAGAAAGAGAGAGAGCACACACAGCCCAGGGACACACAGTGCTCTCACGCACGCTGCCATAACACACACACTTAGGCAGCGCACGCCCGGCCATCCAGGGATGGGTGGTGACCGCCAGTCTCTGGGCATAGATTTCAAAGTTGGGGGTGGAGAGGGAGGGGGAGAGATGAGCCCTGCCACGGCCACAGCTCAGCACGCGCGTGTGTGTGTTCGTGGCTGCCTTGGTGGAGTGCAGTGTGTGCATTATTTGTGCAGACTTATTCACAGGCCACCTCCATCCAGGACTGGCTGCTGCTTTAGGAAAAAAAAAAAAAAACAGCACTAATGGAGCCGACTGGTGCCCAGGTCCCAACATGCCTGCAGAAGCTGGAATGAGTCTGTGTTAAGCTGCACCGGTTCCACAGCCCACTGGGGTTCAGGACAGGCGCCCCGAGCCCTCCTCCTACCGCCGACCGACCCCTGTGACTGGGCAGCTCCCTGTCAGGGCCTCTGGGAGCCCGGTTGCTCCCAACACAGACCCCAGTGAAACGCGAGTCACACTTCAGTCCCTGCCAGCCCACCAGACGGGGAGGGCCGGGCTGCAGGGAGGGTGGCATGCCGGGCTTTCTTGCCTCCCTCCCCGTTCCCCGTTCCCCGTTTTCTTTTTTCTTTTTCTTTTCTTTTTTTTTTTTTTTTTTTTGTTAACAAATACAAGACTTCCGGTCTCCACCCTGCCGCCACAAACCACAGCGTCCCTGCAGCCTGGCTGGGCTAGGGAGATTTATGGGCCCCAGTCTGAGGCCTGCCCGCTGGCTCCAGCTTAAGGAGGAGTCGGAATGCCAGCCGCCTGGCCCCCTGCCCTCCCTACGATCCCCCCTCCCTTGCAGGTCCCGGGAGCAGAGGGTTGGGAAAATCACCTTAACAGACTCACCCTGGGCTCTGCAGAGCCGGGTGGGGCCTGCAGGAAGGCCCTGGGGGAGGAACAGCCTTGCACTGTGCAGGGTCAGGATGCCTAGGGGAAAAGGGGGAGGGGGCACCCCTTGGCACGGCCACTGGGGCCACTTCCAGGACATGGTCCTCTCTGTTTTGGACTCCTCACCTTCTGGCTGGGCAGGAACCAGTTTTGTTAAGGTAGTCTGGCTTGATGTCCCAGTGTGTGTTGTGATTGGGCATTTTGAATTGACCCCTTTTGTGCAGAGCTGCTGGACAGTGGTGGCGGGGGACCACCAGGGTGCTGGATCTGTCTGTGTCACTGCCTGGCTCTGAGTAACAAGCTTTCTGGGTCCTGGGTTTCCCATCAGGACAGCCCAGGGCGCTGGCATCAATGGCTTTCAAAGTTGCGTCCAGTTGAAACACCTGTAATTCCAGGCCACCTGTAACCTTAAAAGCAAGAGCCACGAGACTCAGGCACCTCTGGCCCGTGCTCTGCAAGGATGGGGCTTCCCTGGCCAGGTTGGGGGAGCTCAGGGCTGTGCACCAGGAAAGCCGGGCTCTTCTCTTACTGGGTCATGATTCCAGACTCCAGGGCCTGCAGCCGGTCCAGGACCACGGCCGCCCCTCCTCCCTTCTGCCTTGGCACTGAGTGTGTGTTTTGGTCCTAGAAGCAAAAGCAAACGCCAGTCCCCTCCGCCACCAACCGTGCGCCCCCCTTTTTGTCTTGCAGATTCCCAACTTCTTCTGGAGCCTGGGGATCGGTCACACTGGTGCGTGGTGGCATACTGGGAGGAGAAGACGCGAGTGGGAAGGCTCTACTGTGTCCAGGAGCCTTCCCTGGACATCTTCTATGATCTACCTCAGGGGAACGGCTTCTGCCTCGGACAGCTCAATTCGGACAACAAGAGTCAGCTGGTGCAGAAAGTGCGGAGCAAAATCGGCTGTGGCATCCAGCTGACGCGGGAGGTGGACGGCGTGTGGGTCTACAACCGCAGCAGTTACCCCATCTTCATCAAGTCCGCCACACTGGACAACCCGGACTCCAGGACACTGCTGGTGCACAAGGTGTTCCCCGGCTTCTCCATCAAGGCTTTCGACTACGAGAAGGCGTACAGCCTGCAGCGGCCCAACGACCACGAGTTCATGCAGCAGCCGTGGACTGGCTTCACCGTGCAGATCAGCTTCGTGAAGGGCTGGGGCCAGTGTTACACCCGCCAGTTCATCAGCAGTTGCCCGTGCTGGTTGGAGGTGATCTTCAACAGCCGGTAGCCGCGTGGGGACAGGACAGAGCATGAGCCGAGCAGGCCAGCGTTCAAACTACTTTGCTGCTAAGGTTTCCCTCCCGAATGCTTGCTTTTCATGCAGACTCTTTGGTCGTGTTTTTTGTTGTTGTTGTTTGTTCCTGTTTTCTACTCGTCATTCTTCTTGTTTGTGTTCCGTTTTGTTCTTTGAGAAATAGCTTATGAAAAGAATTGTTGGGATTTTTTTTTTTTTTTTTTGGAGCAGGGGTGGGGGTGGGGAGGCCTATGGTTGGTGGGATACCCCAGATAAGGAAAGGAGGGGGAAGCAGTGTGTGGACTGGGGAGCAGCCCCTCACTTCTCTCCAGGCATCATTTCACCTGTCGGGAGTGTGCGTGTGAGTGAGCGTGTGTGTGAGTGGCCGAGGCGGGGAACGCCACACTCTCTGCTCTGTGTTTCTGACGGATGTCCCCGCCGACAGGTTGTGGCACCAGCTGTGTCCCTCTTGCCCTTCGGACGCGTTCCGTGGGGGCAGAGGCAGTACCTTGGGCGAACTGGCGGCTGATGTCCCAGTGGCTACCGGAAGCACGGCTCTGCCGCCTGCCCCCCGAGACGCCCCCTGCCCCGCTCTCCCCCCGTTTCTAGGACACGGGCCTGTCCACAGGCTTCTGAGAAGCCAGCCTCCTCAAGGCTGAACCGGAACCGACCCCCTCCATCCTTCCCTTACTCTGCCCCCGCCCCGCCCCGCCCCGCCCCGCCCCGCCCCGCCCGGCCCCGGCCCACCCCGGCCCAGCTGTCCTGGTGTCTCTGTTCCTCAGCCACTGCTCCTGGATCTCCCTGGGATGGGCAGCCCCGGCACAGTATTGCGCCCCCCCCCCCCCCCGCCCCAGTGCCCTGTGCCCCCCCCGCCCCCTCCATCAGATGTTTCCTGGGTGTGAGAGAAGCTGTGCGCTTTGCTCCCCCTGCAGCCTGTGCGTCGAGCTGTGCCGTGAGGTCCGCGCCCGCAGCCCCCTCCCACCAAGCAGGGTCTGGTCTGCACCCAAGGTACCATCCTAGGCTGACACCTGCCTCGTCTTTCGTTTCTTCTGCGACTCATACGCTCGTATGATCATTTGACACTGTTCTTAGCTCAATGAGCATGCTTAGACTTTAACATAAGCTATTTTTCTAACTACAAAGGTTAAAATGAACAAGAGAAGCATTCTCATTGGAAATTTAGCATTGTAGTGCTTTGAGAGAGAAAGGACTCCTGAAAAAAGAACCCTGAGATTTATTAAAGAAAAAATGTATTTTATGTTATATATAAATATATTATTACTTGTAAATATAAAGACGTTTTATAAGCATCATTATTTATGTATTGTGCAATGTGTATAAACAAGAAAAATAAAGAAAAGATGCACTTTGCTTTAATATAAATGCAAATAACAAATGCCAAATTAAAAAAGAGAAACACGAGATGGGTGTTTTTTCTATGGGTGTTATCACCTAGCTGAATGTTTTTCTAAAGGAGTTTATGTTCCATTAAAGCAATTTTTAAAATGTATCCTGGAGTCCACATTGTCCTCTGGCTCTGTCTTCCGCTGCTGGGAGTGGGGAGGCTTGGCAGTGGGAGGTTCTCCACCCCAGGCCTGGGCGGGGAAGAGGGGACGCGGGCCCAGAAGGCGAGACGGCCCGGGCAGTTCCGGTCTGAGCGCTGGGAAGACCTGTGGCGGTTGGCACCGTGTCCTGAACCTGCGGGAGCTAACTTCAGGGAGCCCTATGCCAGGTAGGGTGCGATGGGGGAGGCCCCTGGAGCTGCTGACTTGTACTTTTCCTACAGAAGAGCTACTGGGCCAGGCTGGATGTGGGGAGAGCCGCCCCGGGGGCTGAGGCCAGGGGAGGCGAGGAGAGAGGGTCGGTGGCCGTCAGTGGCCAGAGAGACCACCTCCAAGTCTTCCCTGTAGTCTCCCCGTGTGGTGCACTTGCTCCAGTCCCCTCTCCTGGCCCGGCCCAGCCTCAGTTTAGCAGGATACTCTCTGGACAAGAAATCGTTTCAAGCTGGGCACCCACGGAGGCCTGAGTAGGTATCTGTCGTGGGGTCCTGTGCCTCCCCTCCAGGAAAGGGATCCCCTTGAGTTTGGGGTTAGGGTTTAGGATATTGCAAATGAGGCCAAACTCAAAAGACCTTGGAGGAGCAGCCCTCAGGCAGTGCCAGGCACAATGCTAAGGCAGAGATCACTTAATCCCGGACCCTCTGTCAGGATGGAAGCCTCCAGAAGGAATGACTTGCCCAGGGGCAGGCCTTGTGGTGCAGTGGGTGAAGCCGCTGCCTGAGCTGCTGGCATCCCACACTGGAGTGCAGGTCAAGTCCCGGCTGCTCAGACTCCTGCCAGCTTCCTGCTGATAAATCTTTGGGGAGAGCAGACCATGGCTCGAGTGCTTGGGCCCCTGCCACGCACGTGGGAGGCCCAAGTGGAGTTCCTGGGCTCCTGGTTTGATCCTAGCCCAATCCTAGCTGTTGGGGGCATTTGGTGAGTGAACCAGGGGATGGAAGATCTCTCTGCATGTCTGTTACTCTGCCTTTCAAATGGAAGGAAATAAGGAAGCATAAAAACAATTTCCCAAGGTTACGCAGCAAGGTCAGATTCCGGAGCTGGGGTGTGGCTCCCCCAGAGGTGTGGGAGAACCATAGGGCTTCATTCCGTCACTTCAATCTGGGAAGGCAGCCCCAGTGCCTGGGGGCTCTGGGAGAAGGAGGCTGGAACCAGGGTGTGGGGGTGTGGGGGTACTGGGAGGGCTGGGGGTGGGGAAGGGCCCGCGGGTGATGCCCATGGCCCAAACAGTCGCTAGCAGCATGGGCAGAGCACCAGGCAGCAGGCCAACAAAGGACGGGCTTCCTGCCACCTGTCTATGTGCTCCGTTCCCAGGAACCCCCTAGGTTCTGGGTGTCTGGTAAGACTTTGGCCTTGGGCTTCCTTCTCAAGACGCCCTCTCCCAAGGCAGCAACTTACTCTAGTGGCTTCGTCTCCCAGAGGAAGGTGGACGCCTCCAATTCCCCAACCAGAAACCTGGCTTCTCCCGTGCCTTTGCCCCGGTCTTCCGTCTTAATAACGACAAATCCTGGCACGGGCGTTTGGGACACTGGTCCAGGTGCCTGGCGCCGATCAAGTCCTAGTTCCTGCTGCTGCACACCCTGGGAGGCAGCAGGTGATGGCTCAAATACTTGGATCCCTGCCTGACCCAGCTCTGCTGCTGTGGGCATTTGGGAGTGAACCAGCAGATGAAAGATATTTCTTTGTCTCTGCTTTTCAAATAAAAAAAGAAAGAAATTAAAAAACACAAAGAACACCCCCCCCCCCAATCCTGACCATCTACCTCCTTCAATCAATAATTACAGTGCAAGGGGCTGGCTTTGCAACACAGCAGGTTCAGCTGCCACCTACAACACCAGCATCTCGTGTGCGTGCAGGTTCGAGTCCCAGCTGCTCCACTTCCAATCCAGCTCCCCACTAATGTGCCTGGGAAAGCAGTGGACGATGGCCTAAATGCTTGGGTTCCTACCACCCTGGGGGAGACCCAGATGGGGTCTCCTGGCTTTGGTCTGGCCCAGGCCTGGCCACTGCGGCCATTCAGGGAGTGAACCAGAGGATGGAAGATCTTTCTTTCTCGGTCTCTCTCTCATTCTGCCTTTCAAATAAAATAAAATAAAATAAAACTTTAAAATATAATAATTTGTGCAAATGTCTCTTACTTTCGTTCCATCTGTTCACGTCCCCTGGTCTGGCTGACTCCAGGCTTTGCCACCCTTCCTTGCTTGCTCTTCCTGCCCTTTAGCATCCGCTCCTCCGGCCGGGGCGTCCTGCTCCCGGCTTGCTTTGTTTCCAGGTTCCCACAGCAGTGCCTTCATCAGCTGCCTCCTCCTTATCCTGCCATACCTCCTCCAGGAAGCCTCCCCCTTTGTAAAACTTCTGCCTTCCAGACAGATAGTGGTGTAAGATTCTGTCTTCCGCACCGAACCTTGGGCTCTGGGCAGCTGGGCCTCAGTCAGGACCCACTGCTCTGATGATTGCTGGCTTGGTGCTGCCCCGAGAGTGAGGGAAGAGGCGGAATTGAGGCGCTGGCATGGGTTAGGAGTGATCGTAGTAAAGAACCGACACTGTCCTGGGCAGTGCTCCAAGCACTTTGCATCGGGGTTGTCCCGTATAATCCTTGCAACCACCCTGTTGTCATCATGCCCATTCTACAGATGGAGAAACCGAGGTTCAAAGAATGTTGCCCAAGATCCCCCAGCTGGCAGTGATGAGACTTCCTCACCTCCTGCGCTATCTACTCTCTCTGGGCAGGGCTGGGTCAGGGGTGACCAAGTCAGGTGTGTGTTTCCTTTTCAAGATTTATTTATTTGAAAGGCAGAGTCACAGAGAGGCAGAGGGGGAGAGAGAGAGAGAGAGAGAGAGAGGTCTTCCATCCACTGGTTCACTCCCCAAATGGCTGCAATGGCTGGAGCTGCACTGATCCAAAGCCAGGAACCAGGTGCTTCCTCCCGGTCTTCCATGCAGGTACAGGGCTCAAGGACCTGGGCCATCCTCCACTGCCCTCCCGGGCCACAGCAGAGAGCTGGACTGGAAGAGGGGCAACAGGGACAGAATCCGGCGCCCCCACCAGGACTAGAACCCAGGGTGCAGGCGGAGGATTAGCCGGCGCCGCCGCGGTCTCCTGTATGTTTTCTTAAAAATGCTCTAGGGGCCAGCGCTGTGGCATAGTGGTTAAAGTCGCCACCTGGCTCTTTGGCTTAAGATCAGCCCAGCTCTGGTTGTTGTAGTCATTTGGGGAGCGAACCAACAGATAGACAATCTCTCTCTCTCTCTCTCTCTCTCTCTCTCTCTCTCTCTCTCTCTCCCCCTGCCTCTCCTTCTCTCTCTCTGTAACTCTGATTTTCAACTAAATAAAAAAAATTTTAAAAAGTGCCCTGGTGTGGGAGGACTGAGCTGAGGGGACTGCTAAGCCGCAGAAACAAAGCCTGACACCCACGTGGGTTTGTACTCAGCGGAGGGTGCAAGCCGGCCTGAACCGACCCAGAAAGAGCCTGCAGGTGAGAGTGGCCCTAGAGCACCCCGGACAACCCACGGCACAGGTTGGATTTGCTCCCAAGCCCACCGTTAGGTGGCCACTTCCTGGCGGGTCTGTCGAGCCCTCGGCCTACGAGAGGAGGTGTTTCTGGGTCTGCACGTGGCATTGTCCTGCACCTGACTTCCACAAAGGACATTCATATAGTTCAGTCTATTGGTGTTCAATGTAAGGTGGCTTATTAGGGGGTCTTCACCCATCAGTTGTCCCCAGGGCTGCAGGCACAGGCTAATGGCACTCTTGGGGTGATGTGTTTTGCAGGAAGTGGGGTTGAGAGAGAACAATTGACAGCGCAGGCTAGCCAATATTGGGGCGAGCACTTCCTGTTCATAAGCCAGCAAATCACTGAGCCCCTGCCCGAGGAGAAAGCAAAGACCAGTGGCAGCCGGGGTCGGACGGCTGGGGTGCCCTGGCCCCGGGCACAGGGGAGTGTGGGCCCCTCTTCCTGGTGGCTGGAGCCGCAGGCCCGAGCTGCCAGCTCAGCAGTTTTCCCCAGCCAGGAGCCTGCCCCCCTCCTTCTGAAAATAATGATTTTCTAAAAACGGACTCCCTTTCCTCCCCCAGCTGCAATTAATCTGCTGAACACAAAGTGGCCGCTGGAGGAGGCCCCTGGTGGGTTAGGACCGGCGAGAGCGCTTTGATTAATTCAGGGACGATTTACTGGCTGGGGCTGGGGGCGAGGAGTGGGCAGGGGCGCACTGCTCAGGTGGGGCTGCGGGAGCCACAGAGGCCTGGGGGCGTCTTAGGGAATCCCCCACCTGCCTCGGGGTGGGGGGGACTAGGAGGGGCCGGGGCTCAGCCTCTGGCTCCCTCAGCCTCCCGTGGACAGCAGTGCGTGGCAGGGTTGGGCGAAGGCGAGGATGAAGCCAGGCCTGCCACACTCGTAGAAGTTTTGGAAAAGGAAGGATCCACTTGTTTTGATAAGAAGACAAGTCCAGGGTTAAGCGGTGAAGCCATCGCTTGGGAAGCCTGCATCCCTATCTGAGTGCTGGGGTTCGAGTCCCAGCAGCTGTCTGCTAACGCACACCCTGGGAGGCCGCAGGTGATGGCCCAAGTACTTGGGTCCCTGCCACCCACATGAGAGACCCCGATGGAGTTCTGGGCTCCTGGCTTCAGCCCAGCCCAGCTCAGCTGTTGTGGACTTTTGAGGAGTGAACTGGCAGATGGAAGACTCCTTCGTCTGTTTCTCTCTCTGCCTTTCAAATAAATGATTACACACACACACACACACGCACGCACACAAACAAGAATGCAAGCACATGTGTATTGTGTGTCATGTAGCAGCATGCGAGGGGACCTGAATCAAGAGAAAACACACTTCAAGGCAGCAGTGTGGCTGCTGGCGCTGCTTTGGGCGGAGGTCCTGGAGCCCCCACAGTGTTTCCGTTGGGGCCACTTGGGTGGAAAAGCATGAGATGGGCTCCTCCCCCTCCAATCCCA